CGGTTGACAGCGCCGCGTGCAGCTCGCGTCCAGCGTCCGCGGTGCATCCGTGATGGGTTATAAAAGAGGAGGAAAGTATTTCTCCTTGCTCAGCAGATTTGCCCTCCCTCGCTGCTTACTGGTTAGAAGATAGAACGTGAGCCCAGATCCGGACGAGCAGTTCACATTCCATTACGAAATTCTACACGGCTTCAGAGCCAGCAGCAGCACACATTCGGGGCACTTTGGAGTTTTTTCTTTTTTGGGGTGGTGGTGGTGATGGCGGTGGAGATGGGTAGAAGGGTGAATAAAAAGTACAACTTTTTCGTGTGCTGCAAAAACCTGCCCGAAGGTTTTCATCAGTAGCAGTATTAACCCTCATGCTTGTTTTAGAGTTTAGATTTAGACTTAGCCTTTTGAAAACCAGTGGGTAGAAAGGTTGCTTGTTGGATAGGGATGCTGGAAATAGGGAGGTATTTCTGTCTTGAAGAGACTTGAGATGATTTCTGCGAAGGTTGAGTTGCTAATGTACATCCCATAATTTTGAGATATTTTTTTCTTCAAATATTCAGTGGTCTGTGCATGCACGTGAGTGTATTCTGAAATAAGTTTAATTGAAGTGGAAGGTGGAGAAAAAGGAACTGCAGCGAAAGGAATGGTTTTTATTTTGTGTTTGGGGGGCGGTGCCCCCAACCACCACCACCACATTCACAATCCTTAAAATGCATCCCCCAGATCTGGTGCTTTTTCGAGTTCTAAGACATAATGTAACCCGGAAGTCTAAGAGGCTGAAGTCTTGGCTGAAACTTCTTCTTTTTTTTGCAAACGTTTAGTTCTATGCTTCCTTCAAGAGTCACAAAGAACTTTTGAAGGAATGGGTTCAAAGTTATTCTTCAAATTTATGCAAAGGTGAGCCACTAATTTTAAGGTTATTTTTATTTTTTTTATTGCTGCTTTTGGAGGGAGCCTTCTGGGTACCGGCTGATGGATCCTGCTTTGATGTGTTTTGAGCTTTGGTTACACTGATGAATTAAACATTTGAATGGCTTTTATCAAGTTTTAAATGTGTGAAAAAATACCTTCTCTCCTACCCCCTTTTTACAAAAGAAAGGGAGATCCCTTTGATTTAGTTATTTGTTTAGCTTGTGCTCCATTTTAGACTGTTAATGACCTTGCACTGTTTTATCATTCTTAAAAATACTGCTAAGCTGATTGCACTTTAGGATATTTTGTTTTTGAGGAGGATTTCCTGACTGTGATACTCGTAAGTGCTGCTGATGCGTACTGTTCTATAGCATGTGATTCTGAGTTTTCTAGATACTAATTTTTCATTAGAAAATCAAGAATCTACACCGTCATGTTTGTTATGTGATGGGGAAGATGGGGCTGACTCAGCTGGCAGAGCTGGTGCATCCATTCCTAACTGTTTACATCATCCAACAAATGACCTTTTGACTCAAGGGTCTTCTATTTTAGATTTCATCAGGCCGATTCCTGAGGTCTTATTTGCATCCAAGACAGGTACAAATATTGAAGAAGGGAAATAAACCTAACCTTGGTAGTCCTGCACCTGATGTACAGATGTTTATTAGTTACTTGCTGTGGGTCAGGTAGTAGCTGATTGCTGTTATGTAGCTTTCATTTTTTATGTTCAATTTTGAATTGCTGTGTTTGTCCACTTCCTAGGTCAGTTTGGAAATCTTTGCTTGCTACTTTATGCTCAGTTGTCAACATCTTTTACTACCTTCAGCAAAGGCTATTTCCTGATTAATAAAATTTTAAAAATTCTCTTTTAGGTTTATGGCATAATTAATATAAATTTAACTCCTACAGAAATTGGTTCAATGTGTTCACTAGAAAGAGTCAGATGTGAATCCCTTTTGATGTTTCTATTCATTATCCTTCTGAAAAGTAGGTGATGCTCAAAAGGTCATAGGATAAGGGTTGCTAAGCAGCTAAACAGAAGGATGCTAAAATTAACCAAAGCATTTTTGAAAAGGAGTCCTTCCCTGGTTTACATTATTTACTAGCTTTAATTAATTCCTGAGTTCTCCATGTCCTTTGACCCAGGAAGGTAGGATGTTAAGTTTGTTTTGTTTTTGTTATCATATTTAAATAAGCACTCTTTCTTTTGTAAGTGTCTTTTAATTGAAGTTCACGCTCTCTGACCAGTTCTGGTATCAAATGACAGTTCGTCTGGGGGGACTTCTTGTATATTACCTGTGTATTCAGGTTAAACCTTACATTCAGGAGGATATGTGTGAGTAACATCACTTGTATTTCATTTATTAGTAGCAGAAATTTTAGTTTGTTTTGGAAAATCTACCTAATACATGAAGCAATGTCTTAGTTCACTCCTTATTAAACAGATTAGCATTTAAAAGATAGAAATGCAGTATAGTATCAGTAGGAAGTATGCAATATAGTCTCCCCTAATAACAGGACATCATTTTCTTACCCCTTTACTGAGATTATCATTCCTTTAGGTTTTGATAGGGCTCCTCCTCCTTTTTACTCCACTTCTTCATCTCAGTTTACTCAGCCCAGTTCTAAATACCTTTTAAAAATAATTATATTAGGTGTAGAATAACTTTGGAAGGACTGACCAAATGTTAGGGGGCAGGATGTGATATACATTATATTTCTGCCATAACTATGTTCAAGGATCTTGGCGTTTTCAGTGAGATAAAATGGTTGAAATCTAACTGAAGCTGTGGTTGGTTGAAAGGCAAGTCCTCTGTAAGTCAAAAGTTTCCCTGCCTCAAGGTTACTTGTGTACATATGACCTACTGAACAGGCAAAGTTGAGTAATATTTTTATATCCAAATATAATTAAGAAATTGGATGGGTTCCTTTGAGGAGGCAGGGTGTATGATTTTTTTTCCCTCTGTCTGACTTAGGAAATGATTTTGAGTAGAAATAGCCCCTGCCCTCTTCAAAACGTAGGGGTCAGATTGTGGTTTCCGTGCCTTAGGGAGCCTCCCCATGCATCAGAGGTAAAAGGTGTACCATATGAAACAGGGAGGCATACGATGTGCTTTCTGAAATGCATCACTTATTTTTAATTTCCCCAACTCTAATAGGAGGCAGAATACAGAGGAAAACCGGTTGAAATGTTTGCATTACTACTGGGATAGAAGAATGAGGAAGATGGGAGTGAGGGGTTGGACTTTTCCCTGTTACGTTAGCTGTCCTGTGGACAGTGTCATCCACTGTGCTGGTCTCCGTTTCTCTTCTCACCTTCCCTGGGTATTGACTGTTGGTATCGTCAGTTGGTGGAGATGGGGTGGGGTGGAGAGGAAGGGAGGCCCTGGAGGAGGGCACGGGGAGCTGTTTCTTCCAGCTACTGGTGCATCTTGTTTCTGATGGTACTTCAGGATACAGGTGAGCCAGTCAGCCATCAGTAGAGGTGGCTGCCGGTGAATAGGTGCTTCAGACAAAAGAAGTGGGAGAGGGTGGAGACTGTTTGTTCAGTGTGATTCAAGCAAGTAATGCTAAGAGAATTTGAAAGCCTCTGTAAAATCCCCAGGACCGGGCACTGACTGCTCCTGCAGGATTCACCTGAGGCCTTTCAGACTCCATGAGGGCGGGTGGTCCTGATAGGGTGCAGAAAGCCCAATGAAAACCCCCGCATTCTTTGTCAGCTAGCCAGACTGCAGAGAAAAAGTCTCAGTGGGGGTAATTAGATAAAGCTTTTAAATGGCTCTATTTGTTTTTCCCCTGGCTGCTTGGTATCTCATCTAGTTTCCCCCCTTTTTCAGAAACTGTGGGGTAGGATTGTTATACAAATGTTTGAGACTTTTAGTGGTTTAATTACTTTGAAAATTTCCTTTCTCAATAGGGTGTACCTTGGACAAAGTTAATGTCACCCTGCTTTTGTGAAGAAGGCATTTAATAAGATTCCAATTTTATCCTTAGAGCAACACGGTGATGATGGGGTGGTTTTATTAACCCATTTTAAAACTGTGCTGATTTCCACCCAGTGGCTGGTCATAAATCAAGCCTAGGTAGGACCCTAACCCCAGCCTAGCTCTGTACAACACCTGCTTTTAAAAGTCCGCATGGCCTCAGAAGACTAAGCAGTAAATATACAGTACCTCTATTTGTGTGTGTGAGTGTGTGTGTGTGTGTATGTGTTTAAAAAGGGACCATATCATTTAAAAAATAATTCTGTGGTTGAATCTGAAGATGTAAAGCAATTAAGAAAGAAACGTTTTAGCCTTTGGCAGCATTTCTGTTGATGAATACGATTATACACGTTTTTCCCAGCAGG